GTTTGTTTTCAAACCATTACAGTATGGATGACTGTTCTTGCAGCTTTGCCTTTTAATCCTAATGCAGATTCTGTCACGTGAAGTGCTTCACTATTCTGAATTTGAATTATTCAGTTAATGTGAGATAATAGTTGGATTTGTCAAGTTAATCAGGTAAAGAACTACTCCACCCCCAAAGAATCAATGTAGTTGTACTACGGTGTGCCGTGAGTACCTGTTTTAGGTTCACTCACCAGAATTCTGTCAAAAGCCGAAGGGGTTCCACCTCTCTGCACATGACCTAAGATAGTCACCCGAGTGTCAAAACCCAGCCGCTGAACCACAAGCTGCAATCAATTCAAAATACAGGGGACTGATTATCACTTTATTTTATATATGCATCTGTTAGCATTACTCTGATTCACGTGCTATTGGAATAATAAAATTCTACGTATACTATATATCAATAAGTTATTCTGAAAATACTATAAAAGTAAAACTAGTCTTTAGTTTACTCCTAACCTAGAACTAAACTCCAGGTTCCTCATCATAAGGAACATTTTATTCAGTAATGGCAAAAGTGTGGCTTAGGTTGCAGTGCTTTAACTACAGTTACAATGGTTTCATTATGCACAGCCTTCAGCCTTATAAAAACATGTCTAAATATTGTAATTAGAATACTTCAAAGAAGTTCAATTACAGTGCTTCGTTCACTCCATGTTTCATCTGTGTGTAAGATTACACATCCCAAAAGATTCCGAGTAAAATCTCAGTGAAGATGACTTTCAACTTTAACTGACAAGGCTTTTAAAACTTGCAGTAAAAATCAGAATAAAACCATTTCATTTCTTCTATTACATATCAAATCTGAACTCACAGAAAGACATTTTATTAATACATTTCAGTGAGCACGCAAGGTGAGGAATAAGTAATGGGTACCATAAAGTAGGGAAAAAAAAAGTTATTTACAAAAACTCCTATCCCTGGTATTTATAGTTTTTCAGTGTTTTAACTGCCTGAAAATTATAACAAGCAAGTAATGTTTCTTCCCTCAATGTGTAGCAGCTCTCTTCTGTATGTACACTTCCACTGCTTGGTGCTACACATCACTTTGTGAAGAGTCAACGGTTACTATCAAACTGACAGTTAAGGAAAACAAAACATAAGTCACAGGACAGTTAAACCCCAGGTAAAGTCGTGTCATAACTCTCTCCTGCCAATGACTATTTTCCAACCTCCTTTTCTAAGTGACCCTTTCCAAGAAAAACAGAGTAATTTCAGCTCAAAACTTTTTCTTCATCTTAGACACAAATGAAATTTTTGGCAAAGCAACCATTTGGGAAAAAGTGACAAGACGGTGTCCAAAACAGCATTTTCTCAATGTTAGGGAGACAAAGCATTATTAAAATTTTACCAAAAATACAAAGTAAAATAGGTTTATAGTGACTGATTTGAGCTGATTTCAGACTCTCTACCACTTCAGGCACCCCAGAAGCAGGTGTTCTGGACTGCTGTCTTATATCAGAAAAAGAAAAGGTTCCAATAAACAGTCACTGAAATAATTCCCCCTTAAATGGACTACGGATTCAGTTCATAAAGCACAAATATAAAACAGAATCAGCAAACTATGTGATAAAGCCTCTTTACAGGGGCAGATTTACTTTACAGAAGTGTTATTGCTAATAACAAGCCTCATTTTAAGAGCCACCCAGAAGGCATATCACAGCAATGTTGACACTTACATCCTTAACCTTCTCTGACGTTATAGGTTTGTTGTGGCAATCAATAGCTCCTTCAGCTACAATAATAATATTCAGCCTTTTCTTTCGTGCACGGTTCTATAATAAAAATAGAAATGCATCCATATATTAAAAAAACTGAAAGAAATCTGCAGCCTAATTTTATAATCAATAGCTATATATTAAACTGCTAGGATTTGAGGAATTTTTTCTTGTATTTGAAGACTTCAGAGATCTCACACATTTTATCTTCATACAGGTCATTTCATTGATGAATTGAAACATCTTGTATCAAATTAATGAGGAAAGGTACACACACCGATTATATAGGAATAGTTTTAGGGAACCCCTAGAGCAGATCATATAGTTATTCCAAACCACTGCAGAATGCAAAAAAAAAAAAATGTTTAAGATCAAATAGTGCTATCTGTGACACTAGAAACAACAGCCTGCTCAAAGTCCTGATGACATTTTAAGTAACTGTTTTCAAACATACACCTGTAAGGAGGTCAGGGAATCCCAAACACAGCAATATATTACCTCTGAAAGCTTAACACACATTGAATCTTCCCATCCTTCTTCTGGTGGATATTCAGGAATAAACACCCAATCTGCACCACAGGCTAAGGCACTAACAAGGGCTAGATACCTAACAAACACAACAATTATTAGACATTTATGGTTCAGATTTTGTGATCTTTCATAATTGTATCTGTACAAGACACAAACCGATGACAATACATACCCACAGTGTCTCCCCATAACCTCCAGAACAAACGTCCTCTGATGGCTGTAAAAAAATAAATTAAATTAACAGTAATACCGTAACACAAAAATCCCATCCATGTTCTTGAAATCAGAATCTGTTATCAGGAAAGAGACTGTGTTTACCATGCTTACCAAGCAGAACTCATTAGCAAAACAGAAGGCTGTATTAAACTATGTATTTAAAATTGTATCTTCCGACTACTGCATTCTTCTAAAATAAGAGTAGTTAGGAGAGAAGAGGTGAACATTTACTAGAAATGTAAATGATGCAGACTCATAGTTAAGAACTGTAATGATATAGCTGTCTGTATGCTGCAAGGTGTGGCTGGATCTCCTCTAGAAGAGTATGTATGGGAAAGACTAAAAGCTTATTAAAAAAACAAAGCCTGCCCTTAAAGATGATGCAGCTTCTAAAATCAAATGCTTGAAGTGCTGCCACAATGACACGAAAAGGGTTACCAAGAAAAATAGAAACCAACGTGCTTGAAAGATTTAGCCTAAAGGGCTTCTATTTAAAAACAACTTATATCCTCTACTATTGTATGGTAATAGGAAACAAGATTTGAAGCATAAACAACTGTACATTGGTTATAGTTTTCTACAATATGCACAATTCACCTTTGAGCAGTGGTCATGATGGCATCCACAACTTCAATGATTCTGTGCAATGCCGAGTCAGTACCTATGGTCATATCAGTGCCACAGAAGTCATTGTCTATGGATCCAACCATTCCCACAATGTTCAGGTAAGCATATTTCTTAACAGCCTCTTCATCAATCTTTCCTGTAATGAAGTACACGGAGAAAGAGCTGTAAGATATTTTTAAACATTTTAGACATACTGCTTAGGTGCTCTATTTCTGCACATTAAACATATCCAAACATTAAATTATGTTTAGATATTTTAGGTAACAAGGTTAGTCAAACAACCAAACAAAAGCCATTCAAACAACCAAACAAAAGAATCCTGCACAGAACTCCTTACAGTAAGGAAGGAAACAAGAGCTTTTCAGTCCATTTCGAAGTGTCAACAGACGTATCAAGTTTTGTAACCAACCTTAAAATTAAGGGTTTCAACTTGGACAACAGCATTCAAATTTTAGTCTCAATGTTATGACATGTAACGAAGAAGTAAAAGGATGCAAACTGGATGTGATTATGGGCGTATGCAAACAATCAAAAAACCAGCATTAAACTTTTGAAAGACTTCTCTTCTGCAACACTGAAAGGCTCTGATTTCACGATTAATAAGCAAATAGAATAGAAAAGCTCCTATTCTAAGTCTTAGTCTGTGTCTCCCAAGACATCAGTGAAAATGCTGAAATCATCCAAGAGTTCTAAAGGATCTCAAGGATGAAATACCTTAACTGCTTAAGTCTTTAAAACTACGTTAGTATTTGTGGATGGGATGGTTGAAAATATAATGCCAAATTTTTAATATGAGATTTAAGAGCTACATATCAGTGTGTTTAATGTCTATACTACAGAAAATAGTGGAAACCATAATGAAAAATACAACTTATGTTCACAAAGATAAATTCTGAAGAAGAATCAAAATGTTTTCTACAAATGTATACCATGCATTACAAACCTTTTCTAGAGTTCCAAAGGTGACTTAACAATCACATGAATAAGGGATATCTAGTTGACATATTCTACTTAGATTTCCAAAAAGCCATTGACAAGGTCTGTCGCCAAAGGATTTTGAGGAAACTAAGTAGCCACAGCATAAGATAGAAAGCTTTTGCATAGAATAAATAATGTGAAACAGAGGGTCAGAAGTGAGAAACAGAGGCAGTTGTAAATGCAAGTTCTTGTATCTGAGGAAGGTAACCAATGGAGTTCTACAGGGATCTGCGCTGTTCAACATACTCAGCAATAACCTAGAAAAGGTAATGAGCAGTAAGGTACCAAAGTTTACTGATCAAATTGAATTATTTGCATTCTAAGGGTATGGAGTGTCTGAGAAGAAATGAAGAAGACCAGTAAGACACAGTGAGCAGTAAAATATCAGATGGAATTCACTGTAGATAAATGCAAACAAATATGCATGAAAAATGTACCCTAACATCACAAACAAAATAATGCATTTTCAGCATAATAATATAATAATGCTGTTTTCATTAATAAATCAGCTTCAATGCTCAATGGCAGTAAAAAAAAATAAATCAAAATATTAGAAAATATTAGGAAAAGAATAGAGAACAAAACAAAGATCATTATACTACTGTGTAGATCCATGGTTTGCCCTCATCTTGAATACTGGGTGCAGTTGTGGTCCTCCCCACCTCAAAAAGGACATGGTAGAACTGGAAAAGGTTCAGAGAAGGGCAACAAAGATGATCAAAGGTATAGAACTTACATATAAGGAACAACTAAGCAAACTAGGACTCTTCCATCTAGACAAAGAGATGATGAAGGGAAAATAAGACAGCTGTAAAATCTCAAGTGGCATGCAGAGAGGAAGCAGGACTGATCATTCACTGTTCTAACACAAAAATCATAGGACATCAAATGATACTAGAAGCCAGCAGGATCAAAATAAACAGGGTAAGATTCTTCACAATCTTCATTCAGTGAAGCTGCAGAACTCCTTGCTATGCAATGTTTTCAGCAAAAATCTGTATGCTTTCAAGGAGACTGTATACATTCATGGAAAAGAAATTCATTAGGGACTGCTAACAGAATCTGATTCAGGAAGTCCTGAAGTTGGAAATGGAAGGAACCTATCAGAGTATTTATATATTTTGAATAACATGTGGCATCAACACAACATTGTTTAGGCTTGTTCTGTTCTTTTACTTTTCCCTGTACATTGTCTTGGACACTACCAAAGACAACTACCAGGCTGGATGCACTCTTTAGCAACAGCCACTGAATCTTCTGATCTTAAACGAACAGTGACACATAGGCAAGAAAGCATCAGAATTTAGTAACAGCCAAGTGTGTAGCTTGCTGCAGGAAAGTAATTACCATCTCAGTTCAGATATGAGTGCATGGGGCTTTTCAATCAGAAGGTTCAAAGTTCAGATGCTGAATGTTATTCGTAACGATGGAAAAAGCAACAGACTGTTGCCCATTAACTTATTTGGCCTTTTTGGACTTTCATGGTACGTGAGAGGAAATGTACAGAAGTCAAAAACTGTTACTTTACGAAGAACTGTGTAATTTCCTAGAAGGTATGCAATTCATTTTTAAACAATGAAATATCCTTTGGATATAGGCTATGTACATACAGTCAGCATACAAAACCTTCCTGGAGATTGCACTAGAAGTCTAGAGAGGTCTACATGCAAACTTACCTTTCTGTGCCAGTTCTTCTAGAAGCCCACTCCATTCTTCGCGGAACAGGTTGGCACCAGTTAAGCTGCCGTCTCCACCAATCACACACAGGTTCGTGATCCCCCTCTGAACCAGGTTGTAGGCTGCCTGCAGGCGGCCCTCCCGGGTACGGAAGGATTTGCAGCGTGCGCTACCGATAACTGTACCTCCCTAGAAAGAGGGAAGTGTAAGTTACAAGTCATAATACAGTGTTTTGTATTTTTTTTTAAGGTGGATTAATGTCATGTAGCATAGCCTCCATTTCTTAATTTTACAGTGAGCAAAAAGTAATGCAAAACAAAGAACTATCATACCTGTGGGGAATTATGTTCTCAAGACCAGATACACACAACCAGGCAAAGGGAAAAAACACTTGGAAATGACTGACCAAGACCTACTCTTGAAGGAAACCGTTACATGATTTGGGATCAATTTCTGTAGCGTGACAATAAGTTATAAAATTGTTACTTACACATGATAGCAGTAAAAGTGATATGATACTAAGTAGTTTCTAGGTGAATTAGATGAATCTGAAGTCTGACTATTCTTCCTCTAATATCATGAAATAGGTAAACAACAATATATCCCTAAAGTTTGAAATTAGCATTATCATTTCACACAATTACAGAAAGAACTGTATTCATATTTAGTGCCTCACAGTTCAGACTAATGCTAAATTATCAGTCTTATTAATCATCTGCTGTATTTATTAACATGACTTAAATAAATTCCTCCATGAATGGATGTCATTCTTTTCAAAGAAGACTGAAATGCCCTGCCATGGAAAATTTTTGGCCATCTTGTTGAAAAAAAAAATATTTACACATATTTTGTATTTCTGTTGTTCAATACTCAAGAAAAGTCTTAATTTTTGCCTTACTGTCAAAGTAAAATTAATTAAGATTGCAAAACCTTTTTTTTTTTTTTTGCAAACGAATCTGGTGACGATTAATTCACTTTTGCACAAAAATTTAATTCACCTTAATGAATCAGACTTGCCAGTCCAAATTTGAGCTTCAAGTCTGTAGAGGCTGAACTGATATGATTTGCCCTATGAATAGGTGTTTCAGTTCTCAAGCCACTCCTAAGCACCATTTTACCATCTACACTGCAATACACAACAGCTGCTAGTGGGAGAAAAAAACTTGGAACAGAAGCAGTTCAACTTTCTCCATTGACAACAAAGTAGAAGTGTCTACATGGAGATGTTCTGAAAGTATCAATCAGGATTAAAAACCATATCTAAATCAAGTATTTTCGTACTTGAAAACCCATAGTGGTAGGTAGAAGACAGACTATGTATTTGAAATTACAACTTGTTCTGATTAAACACAGATATAAGTTGGGCTGAAAAATCTTTTATCCAAACAACTAAACACATTCTTTAAGATGCACCTTCAGCTTCAGTGTTGGTCTGTGGAATTCCTAGCAATCAAGCTCAGAAAAGAGGAGTTTTTTATACTATGTTTGCTATACACATGTAGGATGCCTATGCTCCTGTGTGGCCTGGCCATGATGTCTCATAATCCTAAAATGTGTCTGGATGATGCTCTTAGTCATATGGTTTAGTTTTAGATAGCCCTATAAGGAGCAGCCAGTTGGACTCGATTCTCCTGGGTCCCTTCCAACCTGAGATATTGTATGATTCTGTGATTACTGATTCTACAGGATAGACAGGATTAAGAAAACCCATCCAAAAACATAACATATCTGGACAAAATATCTCACAGTATTCCATGGTGTTTGTTTGTGGTATTGTTTAAAAATAAAAATATCTGTTATTCTCTTTGCTTACTGGTTTATGTTTATTTTATTAGCTTTACAGAAAGCTCCAAAGAAACCCACACTTCACCTGGAGGTAGTTTTCAGAAAGCTTGGCAAGCAGTAAGGCCTCTTTGCCAAACACAGCATCTGCTTTGGAAGAGGTAACAACATTACCATGCTGAGGGAAAGTGCAAAGAGATCCAAACAGCCACCTTACAGAACGTTGTAAAATAAATGCATAGACAAAGTCACTGGCATTCACTCTCTGGAGAGAGCTCTACTGCAACTGCACCCATGACTATAATTTTAAATGCATTCACACAGGAAGCCAACAGGATTTCATAAGAAAACACTTGCCTTACAAAACAGTCGTTTCATGTTTTAGCCCTATAATGTCTTTTTTATTAACTATAGGCTTGTCAATATGACTTTAGGAGGCTAATGACATGTAGTTTTGAAAATCTAGGACACAGGTTTTCAAGATTATTTCTGTACACCAAATACAAGATGACACAAAAATCTTTAGACTAAAGTATTAAACATCCAGACTGTAACAATCAGGATCTGCTAACAGTAGCACGTACCGGTCACTCAATCATCACAGAATTCAAATCTCTAATTATTGTGGTTGCCTGGATCTAGAATTTTTGTTTAAAAAGAGAGGGTTTGGGTCCCACCCTCAGCCCTAGAACTTACCACTTGTAGGATACTTGAAACACTTTCCCATGAAACTTCTACAATATTATCACCTCCATCAACCATACCCTGGTAACCCTGAAGGAGAAAAAGCATTTCAGAAGTCTGATCTGAAAACTGCAACACTTCCACTGCAGTAATACTCACCTTGTAGTTTTTAATATAACTTTAAGTCATTAAAAATACTAAATGAAAAAAACTAATTTACATGAAATAACATTCAAGTAGGTATCACATCAGGGGAAATACAGATAAACAAACCTAATCTTCCTAAAAGATCAGTTCCAAAGACAACTTCAAGATAAAGTAATACATAGACAGATTACAAACCTTATAAACTAGCTTCATATGGTAATGTATCTCTCATTTATTAAGAACAAATATACAGTTATTTTTTAAAGACAGAAGAAATTATAAAAACACTGTTAAATGTGACTCCTAAAAAAATAACCTCAGTCTGAAGTCATGATCTCAGGAAAAAAAAAAAAAATCTGCCTTTTTAACACCTTGTAATCTTTTTCCAAGGTAGGTATAAACCAAACAAAATTAACCAAAACTTTTTCATAAACAAAAAAGAAATCAGGTCATATAATCTTCATTCTCTTTTAGAGGCAGTCACACAATAAACAGATAGAAGAAATTTAGTAGAAAAATACAATTTTTAGAGATCCATTTAAGAAATCCTTAATACCTTAAATGGTCTTGAGAAACTAATGAATGCTGTAATGTGAAAAGAACTACACTTAGCTGAAAGAAGGAAAACTATCCAGTGAGCAGCTGAAGGGTTTTGTTATGCCTGGTTTTGTTATGTCTCTGCATAACTACTAGCAAAAACATAGTGAGGATGACAATTCTTTTCCCTTAGGTGATATTGTGAACACTGATTAAAAAAACAAAAAGAAACAAAAGCAAACCATCAAAAAAAAACCATCCCACAACCCAACGCAGCTAAATTCTAACTTGGAAAACCTCATACAGACACCAGAATAAAAATAGTTACTGTTCAACTTTTTGACACTTATTTAAATCCAAAGGGGGTAAAAAAACCAAAACATGCTAGGTTAAAGAAAACAAAGAAAAACCCACTAAACAAAAATAAACACAACAATGTTTATGTATCTATACATGCATATGTGGATAATCATGCTGAGGAACAGTTAGTTAACCTGTAAACAGTTCTTGCAAGATTCTATGTATTTAGTTTTAGGGTTCTCAATAATAAATCGTGTGGAACTAGAATAGAAGGGAGTTCAGAAGACAATAAAACTAACATTAATAAACTGGAGACATTTAACTTGTTATGATCCTGAATATATGTACATTTTACCCAGTAAGCAGTAACTTGAAAGTGTGCCAGAATTACACTGGCTTAAAAAGCTGTATATATTGTATGAATACTGTATCATACTTGGAGTCCATCACTAGCATGATAGGATAAGAATATAAAGATAACCTGAACTCAGAAAAAGTACATTTTACTCAAATCATGCTTTCGAGGACTTTCGTACAGATTCCAAGGAGAAAGTATAGAAGTTTCTGCTCAGAAAGACTTGATTCATGAATTTACACGTAAGATGATCATGTTATAGTAAAGAAGCAGCTAGACAGAAAATTACTTATGTCTGTAATTTCTGTTATTCAACAGATCTTCCCAGTGTTTTGCACACTCTCCAAACAACTTTGATACATATCTAATGCATATACACACTGTCTGGTATATTAATGTATACCTATGATGACTTGAAGCTAAGACATTATTCACACAATTCCTTCAAAATTAGAGCACACTGGAAAAGAAATAATGCTTAATCTACATATCAACTTTTAAATAAATAAATAAGCTTCTCAGATAAAGTGCAAAGATCTTCAGACAGAAACATCTCAGTGGATACAACTGAGATTGATGAAGGCTAATAAATTACTAAGTCCACATAGTACAGGTTTGCAGGTTTGGTTTGGTTTTGAAGCAAGGAATAGTCTTCCTTACATATCCCAGTAATGCACTGAGAGCTCTTCCTACTGGTGCTCCTATTGGCAACTACAATAACACAAAGATTCATAGCAAGAGATCATGAAAGAACAGAGTTCTTGCATTCTAACTCAGTTTGTAACACCAACTACAGTACACTGCACTCCAAGCTGACAGCAGTATACACAGTTCACATATTTGCTCCAATTATTCATCTTCCATTTTATTCTAGAAGAAAAACTGAGTGCATTCAATAAAGTATTACATACACAAAATCCAGCCACAATTATAAACCTGAGACTTATGGATGAAAATTCCCAATTTGCATTTTATTAACAAATCTAAAACAAATGGAAAAGCAAATGAATAAACTACTATTTGAAATTGTCTGTAAGATTTGAAACACCTCATAGCCAGGCTAAAGATGAGCTATGATCAACTCCTGCACCATGCATCTTTAAAGCAAAAGGAACTCATGTGTTCTGGCCAGGAGACCACGTTGGTTTTCCTTTCTCTGTGTAATGAGGAAGAGCAGGAGCTGTATTAACAACTCTGCCCACTAAAAAGACAGGGAGCTTTTGGAACATGCCTGATCTGTTTTAACTGTTACAACAGCTATTCCTAACAGAGTTTTGCTTGCCAAGTACTGTACGGCAGCTATCTCTGACCAATGTAGCTACAACGTCTGTGATGCTCTTATGCTCTTCCATACCATTAATAGATACAAAAAAAAAAAAAATTAAAACAGCTTTCTAGAGAATCTATGGAGGAAAAAAGATGACTAATTATAACTGAAGTACTAATCATGATCATGATTTCCATTTATCCTTTTAGTTATTTAAACGATGCTAACCTAGGTACTGGGAAAGTGATTTGAAAGGTGGAATTTAACCTAAAACTTTTTATCAAACAGTTCAACACTATTAAAATTGTCTGGTTACTGAAAATTACTGGCAGATGTGAATACAGACTTTAATAGGAAGAGGGCAGGAACCTGTTGATTCACATTTTAGAAAAAAAATTACTTAGATTCTAAAAATAGCAGCTTAGGTACTAAGATAGTAAAACTGTGGGGCAAGAATGGAAAAAGGTAAACTGCAAAAATACAGCAAGCACTATACTTGAAGATCAACCCCATTTTTTGCTTATTCTTTCTTCTACCCTATTCCAAGCTGAACAAGAGAAAATTTCAGTCGGCCCTATGTTATCAGGGTACCTACATATTACTGCTAGCTCCTGATGAGAGTGGCAGACACAGCAAACCTTGACTCTAGTCTTAGAGTACTCCAAGAACAAAATCTTTCAAACAAGCTACCTTCTGATATGTTCCATGTGAGACATTTTGGGCTTTAACAGTTATTTAAGCTTACTTACTGGGCTTTTTTAGCTATTGCTCAACAAAGTCAGATACTAGCATCACTGAGTACACAAGTCACCACATAAAAGACATGAAGTTTTCCTCACAGAAATCCATGACTGCCGTACCATTGCATTTCCAATGCTGGCCTCTTGAGAAAAAGATTCTTAATCAAGATGAAGAATCTAAAAGTTCCATAGCTTAGTAGTAAGAGCACGCATCCACTGGGAACTATGTGCTTCAATCCTGGAAAAAGGGCAGGTTATTTGTACAAATATTTAAGACCCCAGTTTCTAAAATGAATTGCCATAAATGAGAGGCATCACTTTTTCTTCTCACTCTCAATTAAAGAGAAAAATAAACAAAAGCAACTTTAAACCCTTATGATTACTGAAAAGATTTAAATAAGCCTCCTAGAGCAGCCTGATACTTATACATGTCCTTCCATCTCCTTGACTTTCACAGCATGAGTTAGGTAAGTCTACGTGTATCCAAATTTTAATTCAGATTGAAGTAGATTTGAAGAATAATATGATGCTAGTCAGTGAGGATGACTAAAGACTGTTCACATACTAAAATTAAAAACCAGAAGATGTTAATATGAATATGAAATTAGGACAATTGCATAAAGTAAGTATTGTTTCCATTAATAGATAGCAAAATTATAAAATGTGCCAATTTCAATGAATTACAACACAAGGGTATTTTCAGTTCTATTGATAGAAAAATTATATTGCATGTTAACTATATAAACTAAATACAATATAATATAGTTTTTATATATACTATTTCATAGCTTTAATTTTCACATGAGTTTGGGAGGAGGGGGAGGAGAGGGCAGGCAGAGAGGCAGGGGAAAGGGATCAAAATATGTCCAAACAGCCTGGGAATTCCAATATCTAACCATTTCTTTCTTTGGGCTTCAGTAAATCTAACTTTAAAAAGGCTAGAAAATAACTTACACGTAGTTCATTGCCAATTTTTCTTTATTTATCTTGGTAATCTCTCATCACAAAAGAAAGCAAAATGGGAGTTAGGAAGCAAAAGAAGATTAACAGATTGTCTTACTTAAAATGTGGAGCTCGTTTTAGACACAACTGTAGAAGACAGATGTTTCTACACTGCAAAAATGTTCTTAGGACAGAAAAAGTTACAGGAGAAAAAGAGTGTATGACAATTAGAGCAAAGGCCAAGATCTTTAACTCCACTTTTGACTCCAAATAAGAAAACACTTTTCACCTTTCAGATGTTGCCACTTCAGGTTTTAATTAATTTCTTTCAGACCAGCTTCAATACAAGTACTGCTTTACCTTGACGTATGTGTGTCTACTTAGAATGCCCACCCAAAACGTAGGCTAAAAATATACTATTCTCATTGCTTAACACACTCTGCATTTGATAAAAGGCAATTTAGAAGGACCTTAATAAAAGTATTAAATAACTTCAAGTATATACAGTACATCTCTGTACACATCATGCAAAAGCTTGTAATAAGAATCACTAGCGGCAAGTCTTGCCCTAAGATTTTTACCTGCCAATAGAATTGCCCCCTGCATCCGTTTCCTATTTCAAGGCACCGAAATTTAATAGATACTCCATTTCAAAGCTTGCAAGTTTCGCCAAAGTACTTATATGCATCGTGAAAAAAAAGTGACTTCATATTTTAGAGTCAGACAGAAAAAAACGCCCAGCATTCACTACTTCCTGAAGCACAGAACTGAATGGACTGATCTAGAAGATCTTCCAGAGCTACTACCCATACTTAGAGTGAAATGCACATTTTCTTCCAGACTACACTGTTACAGTGAAGATAGAATGGCAATATGTAATGGAAACTCAAAACTCCCAATATTGACTTGATTTTCATAGTTGACTTTCATTCAGAAATATCTGTGACTTCTCATTGGCAAACTAGCAATTAACAGAGGAACATGACTTAAAATACTGCAATTTTGCTAAGTTTAGGAAAATAAATATCCGGATTTACCTGGAAATTTATCACTGAACTCACTGTGATATAAATTTAAAAGGTTACAAAAGTTAGCATACTGTAAGAGTAACTACAAATACAGTAACTGTGTAAGGTAAACAAAAAAAAAAAACACATACAATCCAGGTTCTGGTCTTTAAATACAACCAAAAACCCCTACTTATTTCAATAAAAGTATCTGACCCATTTCAGCAAGCCTGCAAAGCAGCTGAACACTGAAGGAATTCCAGAGAACGGCCATGCAATTAGCACAGGCTAAGTATTCAGTGCCACTTGCTGAAGCATTGCAGTACAAAAGAATTTTGGAGCACAGTGCTCTGCTTATTTGCATTTCAATATACTTGACATCTCGAGTAAACGAACTATAGGAACAAGCAGACAACAACAGAAAACAGATAAATAGCTACCTTTTAAAGCTAAATTGCATATTTTGCATGTGCAAAACCAAATCCAAGTACATTCCTAGCTCTTCTATGAATTCTAGTACTCTGAATTTTTATATTAAACATTAAAATTAGATTTTGCTAGGAATACTGTCGACCAAGTTCTGCCCCATATCAAACGTTTATTATGAATTGTAATCACCTCAAACTTCTAAGCCATCCTTATAGAAATTACAGTATGAACAAGTATGATTGATTGCTAAATATATTTACTGCAGTGTTTAATTCACAAATTTTATTAAAACTGAAAGTATGCTTCAGGCAGAAGCGTAACTGTAACTTATTCTTCACGTAAGACACACACACTGTTAATTTGACATTTACTTTGGCGCTTTTTCAGATGAAGTAATTGTTACAGCAGTTAACGGTCTTCATGCACATGCAGTCATAAGCTTCAACCACAAAATTCTGGTGTCTGGACACACTACTGATGGTGCAGGTTTTTTGGTGGGGTCTTTTCTGTTTGGTGATTAGAGTGTTCCCATTTACAGCTTTCTACCTATAAGCCAGGATGGCACCAGCCTGACAGTGCTCTTGATCAAAACCAAGTTGTGTAACCTGTGAAATGGGGGCAATGGCACATCCTTATCATATCCCTGGAAAATGGACTGGGAGAAAGCCAAAAGGGCAAGAACCAGTAGTTTAACTAGGTTTAGGAAGGCATTCATGAAGTGCAATACTTGGGGCCAAACACCTAACAAGCACATAAATACACAGCTCACTGCTGCTGTACAACTATCTCTGGTTTTCTCAATATTTTTAAGCTTTTGGTGGCACACGAATCCCATAGGTCTACTATATACCTTGTAAAAAGTATTTTCCACAAAAATAAAATACACAGAATCACTGAAAGCTTTGTGTTGGAAGGGACCTTAAATATCATCTACTTTCAACCTCCCTGCCATGTACAGGGATACCCTCCACGACATCAAATTATTCAAATATGAAATAACATGTTAATATGATGGAAGGGAATGACACGTACAATGTTTTTAAATTTGTACTATTCACTCTCTGTGACGTTGCCACAAAAACTCAAGTATAGTCAGAAGACAAATACAGAATGAATAAAACAAAAACTAACCTCATAAACAAAATACACTTTGGCTTTTACATAGATTCCCATGCGTACTACTGCGCGCACAGCAGCATTCATACCTGGGGAGAAAGAGCAAAAATCACATTGTTACATCTTACCAAACATTTTTTTTGTATAAATCTGCAGCATCTTCAAAATGAATGAAACATTAATTCATTCCTAAAGAAAAACAATGATCAGCATCTACTACAACAGAAATTTGCTTCATGAGAGTGCAATCAGCCCATGCACGTGAAGGGCACAGAACTATTTGCTTTGTTACCATAATTATGTGGATGCCAATATGTGTGCTAATCAGAGATTAAATTGCTACTGATTGTAAAACAGCATTTCAAAGTAACAGCTATTAAACCAGAAACAGAAAGCAAACTGATTTCACAATTATAGTTTTCTATCTAGAACATAAAACATTCAGCCAGGAAAATGTAACTTCTTCAAAGGAGAAATTATATTGTAACAGTTCTTTTTTCCTCAGCTTTCCAAAGTAACACAGGTGGATGCACAGTATTTTGAGGGCTACACAGCCAAAGGTCCTGTCATGGACAGGTGCTCACTTAAAGACAGAAGTAGCAGTTAGTTAACACAAATATGCTGCATGGACTCATTTAACAAAAACAGTGCCTAAATGCCACTTTGCTTCCTAGGATTGTGAGTTCACTTTGTAATTCTCTGCTCACAGACATTTGATAAATTATACCAAGTCCGATGGTCAAACACTTAACCTCTTGAGCACCAGTGAAAGATCCAATGGTCCCTCCACATGAGTCAAATGAATTTGTTGTAACTTATCCCTTCACATAGTGTTACCTTACTTGTTACTCAGGAAGTTCCTAAAAGTAATAAACTGATTACTTCCATACCACTTAAACAGACATAAGAGATTATGCATAGCATGAGGACAGAAGTACAACTACACTGAAACAGCCTTGGCACATCAGTAGAAAAGGGCTGCAAGAAATGTGACATTCCAAAATGTTGGGTGCTGGCTCTCCAAATCTGTTGCACTTAATATCAAAATAGTAATTCCTGTATTAGGAAACAACAATAATTCTCTCAGCCAGAGTCAGCCCTGCTGCTGAGCTGGAAAAAGTTCTCAAGTGCCAAGACAGCTAAAAGCACAGTTTTGCATGATGAACTGGATGATGCCAAGGAAAAACCCAGACTCTCATCTGACAGGCTGTACCAAGAAGTGAGCATGCTAAGTCTCAGACTGAAACAGATCTGCCCAGAGCAAAACGATCTCTTCAGGGAAAAAGTTTTCATCACAAAAAGAACATCCGCACCCACCCCACCCCCTCACACAGAGTCCCCTGGCAAGTAGATACAAAGACCTTTTCACCTTTATAAACCAAACAGATTTCCACAGCACTGCCGTTTTCCACACACAGGAAAGATGCAAGCACAAAGTACTGCTTTCATAAAAGCCCACACCTTGTTTCTATTAATGCACATGTGTGGGAGGTTGGGGTTTTTTTGTTGGTGGATGACAGGGAGGGTTTGGTTGGGGTGGTTTGGTGGTTGTTTTGTTTGTTTTTTTGAGGGGAGGATGTTAGCATTGTTTGTTTGTGGAGTGTTTTTTAGATATAAGAATAAATTTTTTATATTATCCATTTGGCTGCAGAATTCTAGGAGAGTGGCTGAAAGGTGTATTTCCTGAAGGGGAAAAAAGTTCATCCTCACAGAGCAAGGACTATTCAGCACCTTTTGATTTAAGAGCCTTCTGGTTTTGAGGTTCAACTTGGTTACCTCTGCCACTTGGCACCTAAGAAGAAACACTATGATTGTTTCAGGTATCTAATATATGGTCATTATAAAGACCCTGGTGTCTCCTTCACCGATAGCCTCTGTATTCCGAGTATCTTAGAATGTATATTGGAATAAAGAAAAAGCATCTGTAGTTTAAACAGGCTAAACCAAAATCATTTTCTCAGCAAAAAAAAATATTTCTTAAAAAGGAAGACATTAAATTAAGCATTCAAATGTCTACCAAGAATACACACTTGTCTTATCTGCTTCTTGCTCACACTTCTGCTTTATTGGCCATGTATCCTAGCTTTTTATCTTTAGCATGCACCTCTCTTCATCACTGTATTTTAAAGAAGGGTAATAACTCTGTTCTCATTACAAATTCTCCAGATCTGCCGTAACTTTGGTATGCATAAATTATCCTAAAAGTGTTGATTCAGCTTAATGTTCACAATTCTAACAGAGGAGCATATAAAAAGTTTTATTTCTCACAATGACAAGTCCATGAATTCTTTTCACGTAAATATATTCAATAGAGCCACATGATTTCTTAGTGAACCACGTACTTTCTTAGTCAATACTTTCCAGTTTCCATGTGTCTTACACAAAAAAAAAATTGGTAAAATAATTAACTTGCTTCAAGATAGGAAAAAGCTTATGGGTGTGGGAGGGAACCACACAAATTTCAGACAGAGAGCATATTCTCAGCACCACCACTGTAACTTTGAAAGTTTATGCAACATAATGTCACCCAGTAATAACAAATTCTATTTCTTCATACAGAAAATGTACTTGGGTGTTAATTGACAATCTCCTAAAGAAGTGACCTACATTTCAGAAGGGCTGAGTATGGAAGTATGTTACAATTTACTATCTACAAAATAGTTAAAACATCAAAGCTTTGTACTCTCACATGTTGGCTATCTAAACCTGAACGCAGTGCTTGCAGTGATTCAAATACATAAACAGAATTTAATGAAGTCTCTGTAGCCTTTGCCTCACAAAATGTTGCTGTATTTATTTGTGGATTCTAACAACAGTATTTATGAACTACCATAATAACTATAAAATGTAATTAAATGCTTATTACTGAAAAAGAGATTTACAGGGTGAAATGTGGATATAGTACTGAATAATAACTATAACCTGATAAACATACAGGCTTAGAATAGCAGCTTCAAAAGAAAGCCACAAGTAAAACCAGTTGGGTTTTCCTGGGTTTTAGTTTTTTGGTTTTTTTTTTTACAATGCAAGACTTATTTAAAATCTTCCTGAATTACCACTTGCTTTGGCATTAAAGCCTTTGACAGAGGAAAAGTTGTTTTGTTTTGTTTTTTTTCTTTTGGAGCCAGCAAAGATTAAGTAATCTGCATCTACTTACATGGCTTTGCATAATGTCTGAAATTAAAAGTTGATAATTTACTGACCTTCTTCATACTGTCTATTCAATGGTGTTTGAAAGCAATAATTTTCATAGCAGGGTTGCAAACAGTACTGCAGAACTCTATTTTAAAGACACTCCTTTCCCCCAAGAGCATTCCCTTGTCTTGTGCCTATGTCCTGTTCTACACACATATGCACCGTTACAACAGAGTTTGAGTAAAATTAAAACACTACCTTGAACTTAAGCCAAGCCTTCCTGACTTTACTCAGCTAAACAGGCCTTTAAATAAATAACTGTAACACTAACCTTATAAAAGAAAAATCAAAACTATGCATCTTGGACAAGCATCAAGAAATACATAAGTACCAGCGATTTTAAAGCTAAACATTGGCTTTCATGTACTTGTAATGGCTTAGCACAGATGAAGTGCCACCCTGAATGAAGAACCAGCAAATTAAGACAATAGCAAAAGACTACAGAAAATTGTGAAAGTGCCTAAACATTGCCAAACAGAAAGATTTTATTCAAGTATGTAAATGGACATATCAGTAATGATGTAAGAGCCTACAACTATAAAAAAAGAAGATAAAAAGAAACAGTCTCATACAAGAAATGAACAAATCATTAAGAAAATAATTTGGGTTTGTTCCATTTACTTTTAATTACATAACAGATTCTATTGCTTATAATCACAATAATGATTCTATATCTCCTGCAGAAAATACTGTAAATTTTTTCTGAATAGTAACACTGTATTAGATCAGAACATTCTACTGCACAAATATACCCAAAAGCATAACATCTAGATTGCATACATATCTCCAAGAGTAAAAATGAGGTTTGTTTCAATCACAGAATCCACCAATTATAGAACCAGTTCCTCCAAAATATAAAAATATATTGAAAGTTACACACATCCTTTAATTTTAATTATTTCCTTACATTCTTTTTAACTGTGGACAAATTTACGTATTTTATACACACGTATACACAATTATTTGCTGCAAAGGCTGCCTTTTTGGGGCACTAGAATTCAAAAACTCCTTGTGACTGTCTCCAAATTACACATTAACAAAAACTCTAATTTGGATGATATAAAAGGAGTGTGGGTTGTTTTGGTTTGTATTTTGTTTTGGTAGGTTTTGAGGTTTTTTTGGTTGGTTGGTTTGCTTTTTTTTCCTCCATGAATTTTTTGTTGTTGATGTTGTTTGCATATTTGTTTTTATTTTATTTGTTGAGTAGCAAAATTTATCTTACTATCATATGCTACTAGGACATGATCAGTACATCTGCACTACCATATTAAAGAAGCCTTGCGATATTCCTCAAGGCCTGTTTCATGAGTAGAAATATGTAGATCCTTGTTTCCACAGTCATGGTCTGTGGTATTCCAAACCCCTGGAATCCAGAGGCTATAGGGTTCTTTGTACATGTTTCTAAGCTCAATATTTGTTGAAGGAGTGGAGTTGTTTTTTTCTAATTGTTCAGTGGCAAAATTTATTCTTCCAGTGTAAGTTACCTGGACAAGAGCAGTATGTCTGCACTGCTGTACTTAACATGCTTTGAAATGCTGGGAAGCCAGTACAGCTTCACACGTAGAGATACACAGATCCCAACTGCAGCAGTCGGTGATATTCCAGAGCATTGCCATGTAACCTGCAAGTCCCTTACCTATGCTGTCGTCCACAACACTGAATCTTTTGAGTTTGTCTCAAAAATAGCATGGTCACAAAGGAAATCATCTCGAGTCACTAAATTGGACAACTGCTGGAAGTACCCATAAACACATCATTCCCCAACAGCACACAACTGCCTTCTGTCAGAAGCTTTCAGATGACACTGTTCCTGCTGCTGAGCTCTAACACCTATCATGGTCCTAGAATAAGTAGTCTGATTGGAGGTTGTATGAACATAAGTGACCTACAGTGACCAAACCTGTGGCAGCCACTGGCACACAGCATAAAATACAACCAGTGTACTTCATGATCTGAAGCAGACCACAGCCAGAGTCCTACAAAGTAAAGAGAGAAGTGTGATTTAAAAACCTATTTATAAGTTCACCTTTCTGAGCTGCAACCACTGCAATTTAGAAATAGTCCAGCAACAGAACTAAAACTCAAATACTGAGAACCAGTTTTCATGACTTCTTTTGCCTCTCAAGGTACTTCTGATTATGGTAAAAAACAACTGGTTTAATTAACAATTTAACAGCTGTCTCGCTAAAGTGGTGGGCTGCAAAGTTTAGGACTTACAAACCTTTAGTGTACAAAGTATACATATTTTTCTGTGAAATAAGTCATGGATATATTCTTTAACGCTACCAAACAAAATAATACATGTGTGTTCAAAATACAGTGACTAAACCGCAGCAGTTTCTAGCATGACATACACACATTCTCTACTCCTTAATATTCCACAAGCCTTAATATTCCACAAGGAGTAAAAAGGACAAAAAGAAAAAAAGAAAAAAAAAAAAAAAAAAAAAAAAAAAAAAAAAAAAAAAAAAAAAAAACTTGCAAGGAAATACCACAAATGTGTGGAAGCAATTTAAACCATAACATGTCATAAAAATAGAAAGGCTTGCATAGTTTACTTAATACCAATAATTCTAAATTATTAAAAAGCACAATAACAGCAAAGTCACTAACTTTTATTTTTAAATCAGTTCACATATTATGTTCTAGGCTAAGACTTACCGTCCAATCTAAATCAAGACATCTATTGAGATGAAGACTATGTGTTTAATGCCACACTAATGGGTGCTTTTTCCACTCAATTTCCTGTGAGTTTAGTTTGCATTACAGATACTGTGTTCTAGCATCTAACAATCTTAAAAAACAAACAAAACAGGAGACTGGAATTTTTTTTTTTTTTAATATATTAATACTTTCGTTGCCTATGTTAGAGTTAGTAGTTTTGCCTCACCTACAGTTTGCTTGAACATTTATTTTTCAAAGAGCCCTGTGTATTTCCTTCTGCTTATACTTCAGTTCTCCCGAACATTTGCCTTACAGGAAGCAAATGACCTTGACCGGGCATGACTCATTCAGTCTCTTAACTCCTAACCTAGCATGCAAATAGGCTTGAGGTTGCACATTTTGCACATCTATACTGTTATCAAGACAGTAAGGGTTATGAACCTCGCTGTTTTGAGTGATTCAATCAAAATTATAAAGTTATAATTTTTTTTTTTTTTTCCTTTTCTTCTAAGTTAGGACAATGTTGCCTACAAAACTACTTCGAAAGTACCCTGTTTACTTTGTTTGGTCTTTGTGACAACCTCACTCCTCAGACAGCAACTTTTGCAGGCTGTTACTTTTTTATCCCTCCACGTAAATATGCTGCAATTGGAATCTGCCAGATAATGAAGTCTAGATGCTACCCACGGATTCAGAAAGTCCTTTAAATGCTTTAATTCGCACAGCGGCAAGCGCAGATTAATACTTTACAAAAAGAGATACATCTGCTGCTGCATTATATAATCTCCAGCCACGCGGAAGCAAGCAGCAGGGCTCAGTCTCTTGCGGAACGTGCTACTGCTGCTTGAGGGGATGCCCCGTCACACTTTAAAGCTAAAATGGCGCTTTGGCGACCAGACCATTAAAACACAAATGCCTCGATTCACAATCCCTCCTAGAATCATTTAGCAGTGGAACTGATGACACTGAGAGCAAACCGTGGATAAAACTTAAACGAGCATAAGGGCCACTGAAGGGGTACAGAGATGCCATTTCAGGGGATCGGCTTGCTTTTTACGCGGAACCGCAACATTTTCTTCTCCGATGGGCATCAAGTCCCTTCCAGCCCCGAGTAGAGTTTCAGGTAAACCCGGGGGCTTCCCGTTATGCCTGCGGGCGGCGGGAGGGAGGATGGATGCTTCTCCCAGCCCAGATGACGCAAAGAGGCGGCATCTGCAGCGACTCGCCGCGGATCACGTACACACCGGCGGCGGGGAGGGAGCGCGGAGACCGACGCTGCTCCACGCAGGCTACCCCTCGCGGCGCGCTGGGAAAGCGAGGGGCGGAGAGGAGAAGGCAGGGGCGGAGCGGTGCGCGGGGGCGGAGAGGGGGCTGCTGCACCCGCTGGCACCCGGGGGCATCGGACCGAGCGTCCCGGCCGCGGGTGCGGGCGGGCTGGTCCCTGCACGGCTCCGTGGAAAACGCTGGGGAAGCCGGCCAGCAAACCACCCAGCCCACACGAGAAGGAAAGAGGCTTCCCTCCCTCCCCCCCATTCTCTTGAGAAACGCGAATAAAAGTGCCGTTTCTTTTTAAAGTGAAAGTATTTTCCAGACACGCCCGGGGAAAAAAAAAATAAAATCGTAATTTAATGGAAAGAGCTAAAAGCAATCAGTACTAAACAACTCTCCTGGCAAAAGCAGAGCAAGAGTCCTCTCAAATAGCATGGAAAAATGCACATTCGAAGTCTGACCTAACTGAAACTTCAAACTTTTAATATCTATAGATGAGATGTACTGGTAGAAAAGCGGAAAGGAAAGCGCAGGAAAACATGAGTTTATGACTAAGCAAACCGCCATCAAGCCTCTTTTCCTTCCCACCCCTCTTAATGTCTACAGGTCTTTTGTCCACTCTGTCCTGTAGCCAGGACTCCCTCTACACAGATTTAAGGTGTTGAAACGCCCTCCAACATACTTCCACGGGTCTTGAAAGTAACTACTATTTGAGCATTCCAAATCATGGGTAGGAACTGAGAAGTCTTCCTGATGCCAATGTGAAGTGAAAAGCAGATGAGGCGAGGGCTGGCAGAGCCCCAGCAGCACAGACAGCCTCCCACCCGCCGTGCAAGACAGCACGACCTCCTCCCGCGCTCTCATCAGCCAGCCTCTCTCCCTCCCCGCTCGCCTCTCGCCACCATCTCCAAGAGGGTGAAGACATTTTGGTGCTAAAAGTTACTGGAGCCAAGGCAAGGCAAGCTCAAACGAAACGTGATGAAAAAGGGAGGGAGGAGGAAGGATGAGAGCGTGCTTGCAGCTCAGCCCAGGCCTCACAAAAAGACTTATCTTTTAAATAATCTCAGTAAGGGGACAGCTCGAAGGCCAGCCCCGAGAGAGGAACCCGAGGAGCACGGCAATCCCGTGCGTCCCCTCTCGGCCACCCCTTCTCTCTTCACTACCTCCACGTGCATCTCCTTCCCGCCGCCACCCCTGAGGCAGCCCATGCTTCCTACTCCCTTCTCGCAGACGCTGCTACACGCACCAGCTCCTTCCTCAGCCTCCCCCACAGGCGCCCTGCCTGCTTGGGAAACCTTCCGTGCTGCTGCCTCCCTCACACCATCCCCCGAGGGGCTCCCCACCCTCA